TTAGAGCCTGCTTCTTTGTTCTTTAACTCTTGATTTGAAACTATGGCTTCGGGACCGTTAAATTACCGAGACGATTATCTGTTAAGGAAATGTATAGAGAACAGTTTGGATAATATGCATACTGATGTTAGCGAGTAAAGGGTTTAGAAATTTCACCTTTAGGAAGAGCCACATTTCTTAGTATATAAATGTTGACGGAAATTCTTTTCTTTGAATTTCAGGTCGGTTTGATTGTATTCCTGGCTCATATTGGAAGTTTTGTTCCGGCAGAGTCAGCCACTGTTGGCATCACTGATAGAATTTTTACACGAATACACACAAGAGAAACCGTGTCAGTTGGCTTGTCTACGTTTATGATCGATTTAAATCAGGTAGGTAATTGTAATGAAATTTAGTTGTTTGAAATCATCCGTATGAAACTTGCAATCGAAAAACGAGAAAATCACAGGTGCACCCAATTCTTTATTTCCTGGAAACCCGGTTGTGGTAGTTAAGCATTGCCAGTAATGTGCCTTGAAAAAATTACGCGCTTCTGAGTGGTTGAAAACGAGTGAATTCTCATGTAACACGAATGCAAATTGAAAATAACGCGGGCACGCTTCAAAATTTCGTCGGTCTTGATTTTCTGTGATGCTTTTTCATGTACATCATTAACAAGAAGTAAAATGTTTCCTCTTGCAATTTGGTGAATAAGCACTTGCAAATTTTTAAAGACTACAAAGTGCACTTGCTTTACGGGCTCGTGCAATTTTGTTGTCTTTGAAAAATTTATTCATGCTTATTTACACCAAATTGGACTCTAAATTATGTTATTACATATACAAAATCGATTTCGATAGTTGGTTTGAATGATTTCCTATGGATTATGCAGGCCCTCATTGTTAGGGACCTTAAGCAAATCACGACGGCTCCGGCAACAAGGACGTGGCATCTAACGGGCAAAACAATAACCAACACGTGAGGTTTTAAAACTTTGTACATTTCTTAGTTGGCCTCCGCCAAACAACAACGTGAAATCCTAAAATGGCGTCGTCTACGAACGAAAACTGCGACCTCAACTTCTTTTAATGTCCATTTGGAACTCAACGCTGCCTATACTCGTTATGTTGAGGTTGAGGTGTGGCACCGTAATAGACGGTTAACACGTGCAGCCATTTTCGAATTTCTAACTAAAAATGGAAATGCGTCTTGCAAATCGTCGTTTTCCTTGGTGTTGCCGTCCTGGCTGCTTAAGGTCCCTATTAATAGCGCTTAAAGAGTGGGTTGCTCCGCTCGTGGGATATTTTAGATGAGTCGGAGAGAGGTTTGCCGGGGGTCTGGCACTAATTATTAGTTACTAAGCCCCCATTCTTACTTTTTTGCCGGCGAAGAAACGCTCGTGCTGAACCGCTGATAGTGAGTGCCTGCTCGCGGGCTACAATCAGTGAGTAAATGGCTTAGACACTTTCTATTTATCAGTGTTTGACAAATTACAACCTTTACCTCTTTATTCCCAATCCGTTCCTATTCATCAATGTTTCTTGCCGTTAATCGGGCATAACAGTGAATAGAGGCGAAGGAGAGGTAAAGGCGCAAGAGAGACATAAAACGTTAAAAAGACAAAAATGAATTCTTTATGGTTATACTATTTTAATAATGTCTCTTTTACTTTTTTGGGTTAATTCAGTTAGGCTTACCCCATCTGCGTTCGTTGATGAATTGATAAACTTCCGCTGCCGTCTATAGCGATGAGAGGCAAATTAGATCCAAAAGCGGCCGCATCTTTATGCCACGTGTTTATTTGCGCATGATACCAATGACATGCATGTTTGACCTTGGAGCCTTCGTCGTTTTATACTGTTACTTCCTTATTCTCTATTTCGCCCGGCTTTTTCTTTTGCTTTTAATACTAAAACAGAAAATTGAAATGGAATTACAGTTTGACTTTCTCCAGCTACCTGACCTTTCTTTTTCGTCAAGTTTGATTAAAATACATTTCATCATTTGTCAGGTGGCGACTGCAGTGAATGCTGCCACAGAGAATTCACTGGTCATCGTTGATGAATTTGGAAAAGGAACTGCCACGGTTACTATAACGACAGTTTTGTTTATATGATAAGTTGAAGGTCACACATAGTTAGATTGGTTCTTATGATCGATCGGAGAAAAAGACGCACGGATAAAGTCACCATTAACTACATTTTCCTTTTTTATCACATAAAACAAATAGATCCCACGCTGCCGTGGATTTGTTCAGTAATAGATCACAGAAGACGTCAGAATATGAGAAGAACATCAGTGACACACCTGGCTGCGTTTCGTGCGCCGCTTCCTTGTCCTTACCACATTTGACTTTATCTGTAATCTGTTACTAAACAACATGGAATCTATATTTTAAAATATTTATCCTAAAAAACATTTTTTCACCCAAATTAACCAAAATGTGGACTGTACTGTGTACGTTAAAGCTAAATTCCTGCTCAGATGTTGGAATTTAAGCTCGAACCCGTGGATAGTTTTATTTACGTTTTGGTGTTCCTTCCTGATTTATTGTGGTTTTCCTCGCGGAATATTTCCTCAGTGAGGTCTGTGCTATGTATAGAATGATATAGGTTCCATTTAAGTGACGAAATACTATTTTAAAGGTTTTCCTTTACCCACGACAAATAAAACAAGGAAGTAAAAAATATGGAAATTTCAGTTCTCACAGAAAGTGTTAATTTGAAAACAAGGAAGTGATAATATGTTAAAGAGGTGACAGATATAATAATAGATAATTTAATGAGTTTTGGAAGGAAGAAGAAAAAGCCCCAAAATATCGTTACGATTACCTAAAAATATGCATCTCATTTGTCATTTGCATCTCATTTGCCAGAGCGGGAAAAAGGGAACTTCTAATCGAATTTTCTAATAAATAATAAGAAGTGAACGAAAATTACTACCAGAGTCGTAATCCTACTCCTCTAAAGCTAACTGGAAGTGAGTAATTTCATTACTTGTGCTGACAGCTAGGCTTCTTTTTCACTTTCAACTATGGAATCCTCTCCTTTTTATCTTTCTCCATTCACATTCCAGTTTTAAACGTGGACAGTTAGCAAAGATCTCCAGGTGCAACCGAATCAGGAGATTTTACGCGAGCGAAATTCAAGGACCAGGATGTTTTGCCGCAAGAAACCCCTTGGGAGTCATTAATGAATTTATCTTGACATGTTATAATAGGCTCTCAGCACTTTGGCGGGCCAAAGAATTCAGTTCAAAAATACGTTTTTGTAAATAACTCGTGTGCGTTCCCCATTTTACCCATTTTTTTCTTGGTAACTATTGTTGAAATAACGATGCTTAGTTTGACATGGAAAAAAAATCAAAAAAATTGGACCTCGAAGGTCTACCGAAAAATTTAGACATTTCGATCGGAGATAAGTTTACGTAGATCTTTATTCCAACCAATGGTTATAATTTACTATCTTTAGAACGTCCAGGAAGTGCCAATGTTTATTCAGGTCGTTTTTAGTTCATGATTAAAGTAGCATCTCCCTATTTTCTGACTTTAGATCGACGGTTTGTCGCTGCTGACAGCCATTCTTCGACACTGGCTGAGACAGGGATCCAGTTGCCCAAAGCTGCTTGTCTCGACGCACTTTCATAGCCTTGTGAAACAAAAGCTCCTACCGCAGACACCTCTGGTCACATATCAGGTACTTTTGTAATATCCATCGCAAAGTTGCAGGCAGCTGTATCACATTTCACTGACATCTCGAAGGGTCATAAATGCACAATTATACTTCTGGCATGCGTTGTATTTTTCCTAAAAACTGGAGGGCAATTTCTGATCCTGCAGCAGTTTTTGTTGGTACACGTAGCAAAGAAGACTGTCGTCCGGATACTAGCTTTATAGCGGCTTTTTTCCATGATCCAATGGTCATAGTTTTTAGATTTTAACTAAAGAAATGAATTACAGCAACAACAACAAATAGAAATGTCGTCCCAGGTAGGACTTAAAAGAAACTCATACCTTGGTAAAAGAGTTTTAAAATCCGATTGTCTACAACCTAGAAATAAAGTCAACCGCGAACGCTCTAGAAGCCCCCTTCTCTAATTACCTCTTCCAAACAAAAACTCACGAGCGTATCGTCATTCATTTAAGCTTTGAATCGTCTCGGTACGAAGTGTTATTGCGCCACACAATATGAAGGCAGTATTTTGTTCTTTTTATTTTCCTTTGCAATTTTGTACGACATCATTAGACGATGCAAGTGCTGGAAGAAGGCGAGGACGTAGCGTTTTTGTATCACCTTATTGATGGTTGCGCCGAGAGCAGTCTTGCATGCCATATCGCCTCCTTGGCTGGCTTGCCCGATGAATTACTCAAAAGAGCGCAGCAGGTTTCTAGCCACTACCTGATACATTAATCTAATATCATTTCAAGTTTATTGAAATATGTCTTGGTATTAAACAGAATAAGAATATGGTAGATTTTTGAGCTCGGTGAATTAAGGATGTAGATAAATAAGTTTTTTCGTCTTATCACGAGCGTGAGATAAAAGATAAAAAAAAAATTAAAAGGGGTTCCTTTCCTTTTGAGGGGACTCGGAATTTTTCTCTTTGTCCCACGCTCGTTAAAAGAGAACAAAACTTCTTTCTCTTTATTGATACAGTAAGCAGGACTTGTTAAATCTTCAAGAGTCATAGACGTAATGGCGTAGTGCATTGTGGGCCCGACTCCGGATCGTGAGCTCCCGGCCCGAGCGCTAGCTGGGTAATTGTGTTGTGTTCTTTGGCGAGACACTGAACACTCTTCTTTGTGCCTCTCCCCCCACAAGAGTGTAAATAAGTAACCGAAATCTATCAGGAAACGTAATGAAAAAACTGGAGGAGCCTCCGCACTGGACTCAGAAAGTTAATTTGTTTAATTTTTTTTTTAATACGATCGTCGTAATTTTTTTCTTCTCTGAAGGTGACAGAACTTACAAGATGCAACAAACCGATCCTTCGAAAGGACACTGCAGATGACGAAGAACAAAGAAAGAGGTTTAGTTTGGCATTTCTTTCTTTCATGCCATGACTCTGGCCACCACTAATTTAAAACTTTACGTGGGTAGTGTCTTCGTGCAGTTTCCCAGCTGTATTTCAAAAGAAAGCCCCCGAATTGTTTACATTTAATACGAAATCTTTAAAATTCCGGTATATGTAATTGTCTTGGTTAGTACATACACAGAATAATACCGGCCTGAAGGAGCTTTTATTGGAGTCGAGAATCGATGCCCCGTACTTAACTAACAAGTGAACAATTCACACAAATGTTCCTCAAAAAAAAGAGATAATTTGGATATAACTGTTGGAAAAATTCCGTAAAACTTCCTCGCCAATAGAGGAAATGTTTTGAGCTTTCAAATTTATCCATTACATAATTTTTTTAATCCATATTTTTTGTCTTGGTGTACAGGTGTTAATGTTTGCTTACGTCAAGCTCTAAAGTCGAAGTCTGTGGTTAGGATTATGTACTTTGTTCTCCTCGAAATATTGTCTGTGCACAGAGTGTTTTCATCATATTGATCCTTTTGTTTCAGACACAAAGCCATCGTCAAGAAATTCTTGGCGTTGAATTTGGATAACGAAGACCCTCAAGCTTTTCTGAGAGATCTTTTGGAAAATTTCGATGATGAATGATTTGATCTCAATTTCTCGAAATGCAAGCTCATGGTGTAATGTTCCCAGGTGGATTTCCGACTCTGTATTGCAAACTCACTGAAAGACTAAAAGCCAAGAGCTCTAGGCGAAAAAACTAACAGAGCTTGAATCCGTCATATTATATTCTCGTGTTATATAACTTTTGGCCAAGTGTTCACTTCCGAGGTTGCCTCGTGACCTACGATCTCATGACGAAAACCTGAGTTGTACGATTTCGTGAAAGAATAGCTCCGCTCTGAGAAGGTTTAGCACGTTTTTTCAGTTTTGTCGTCAAGTCTTGCTGTTTTTGTTATTGCGGCCACAAAAGCATGTTTCCAAGGAGTATTTACTTCCGTTGTCCTTTTTTAAACACCACATTGCATGGAGTGACGTAGGATGACGTAAGGTCATCTATTTACGATTTGAACAAGGAAAAAGCATTGATCATATGCATTCCCAGTAACATAAGTCGTGTCAATTATGTTGATCAAGTTAATTTCGATTGCCGTTCGTCAGGAGAGGAACGTGGTGAGCTGCTCTTAAAAAAGACCACCCATCGTATTTTGCAGAAGCGAGCACCAGCGTTTTAAACTTTCCAAGAACATGAAACACTGTAAATGTCGACTGGCTCGGAAGACTCATCGAATTTGCTTCGAAATCGCTGTGTTTGGCGCCGCCAGCGTGGGCAAGACATCGCTTATTCGACGATCTTTTGTTGGCGAGTTTTTCGAGGAATATACTCCCACTATAGAAGATTACTACAGCCACGAGATACAAAGACTTGGTGGTGTAACCGTTTTGAACACCACAGACTGTGCAGGATGCTTTCAGTTCCCAGCTATGAGAAAACTGACAATTCAGAAGGCCGCTGGCATAGTGCTGGTGTTCTCGTTAGACAGTGAATTCTCATTTCGCGAGCTTCAAAGATTGCTTGACGAAATTATCAAGGTCAGGAGCGAGGAAGGAGTACCGATTGTTGTGGTTGGTAACAAAAAAGACTTAAATGTGCGAGAAGTCACGGAACAAGATGTAGCAGAGTTGATAAGACTTTACAGCTCGGATAAATTCCAACTTCGGTACGTGGAGACATCAGCTAAAGACAATCTCAATGTGTCAGAAATTTTTAGTCAACTTTTGACATTTCTCATGCCCGAAGCACCGCCAAAAAAGAAAAGCAAATTCAAAATTTTTAACTTCAAAGCGAAAGAGAAGTGCAATGTTATGTAAATTATTTTCACAATTTTTACGAAAGCTTTTGAAAATTAAGAGATTGTTCGGTTACTTCAGAGGCGCCATTCTTGTAATATATTTAATGAGATTGTTGTACTTATTTAAATTAGATTGGAGTAATTTATCATTAAATGCGATTACTGAACCTCTTGTTTTCGTCTGATTATTACTGACGGCGGTCAGGAGTGAAGGAAATGTTTTCCCTAGTCGAACAAGAATGTCAATAATGGTTGACAAGTCAAACAAGTATAGTAAGGCTCCTTTGAAAATATGAACCGAAAGTCGGTTATAACTCAGTTAACAAATTGCTATTCCCTCACGCAAAAAAATTTCTCTCTTTTAAGAGCGAATGAAGTGTTAATCTTATCAAAAATTAACCCAGTGAAAAAAATCGGCTTTGGTTTTGATTTACTCCCACTGAAACCTTGGAAATTTTTATCTTCAGACTTAAATTTATCGTTAGTTTAAACGGATGTTTGTTTTATTCATTCAAGCATTGATAATGTTACGGTTTGGATGAAGTTTGTTCGTGGTTAAGCAATAACAAAAGACATCCACGTAAGAAAGTAGATGACATCTACCCGTGACTAATTTATTCCTCCTAGTTCACACGGTATTTTCCTTCAAAGCCAACATTATTAATGGACAAGAACAAATCAAGGTGAGAAGTTTTGCGAAAGACACGTTTTAAAACAGAAATCGTAAAAACCCTTCTTTTTGTGAATTTCTGGATTCATTTTCAGCGCTATTCCAAGAGGACATCACGTAAACTTACTCTAAATTCACGCGAGCTTTCAAACGCTTGATTGAGTTCTGTGTGCAGCAGGTGAATCGTGGCTTTAATTTTTAATATCGGTCGTTGAAACTGAGACAATTCCAACGCTGAAACGTAATTTTGCCTAAAATTACTTCTTTGTCATGCGACTAAAATGTTTCGTTGTTAATTTTATCATTTTCTCAGATGTGAATCACAGACATGAAATGATTATCTAAATTATAAATTCACATTCGATCGGAATAGACATTGTATCTCGTTGGGAAGAACTTTGACTGAGTTAAAATTTGAAAAGGAATATTTCAGAAATAATTATTCTCTGGTTTTTCTTTTCCCTTAAAACTAGTCCTTCCTGTCGGGCTATTGTGTTGTCTGAACATACTTATTTTGGCATGCGTCTCAAGTGTCGTTGTCAACAAATAATTTTTTCAGGTCATTTTATATCGAAATGAACCACCAATGTTTTTTCATGATTGTCACTTGCAATGAAATACATGGTAACATCATACTTTGGTATCTCTTGGGGAAAAATGACCTCGATGAGGTATAACAAACATTCAGTCATGAAAATCTACCTCACGCGAGATGAAGACTCTATAGAATTCTCTTTTTTTAAACCTTTTGTTTCTTTATCGCAGCTGAAATTTAGGTTCAATATGACTTAAGTCAAAATTTAACAATAAATATTGTCCAGTACGTCTGCTGTGGTAAATACTTGCCTATATTTACGGTGGAAAATATTCAACTTTGAGTAAGTTTACATTCAGCTCGCGATTTTTTCAAAATAGCGCACGCTTTATAAAAGTTAATGTCTCCTTATACTCTCAGTTCATTTATAAAATTGTTACAGGTGAGATTTCTAGATATGCTGTAGATGTCGACTCGTTGTGGACTCCAAGAACATTCGAGACAATTTCTAAGAAAATTATCCTCATGACTCTTAAAACCGACAGGCTTTTTGATGATAAAAATGGAATGAACGACACAAGTTTATTTCCCGTTGTGTTTACAACAGCTTACGTATTGGTCTACATTTATTTTTAAATTAGAGTATAAGTCATGTAACAATTGCTTAAGACAGCTGTCTATACAGGGAATTTACACAAATTAATTTTTGGATTTATATTTAGTACCCAAAGATGTATTCATTGTCACGTTCTGGCGTTAGCTCACGTCCTAGAAGAACAAAGATTTAAAATTACTGGTGTTGTCCTACTCTAGTCTTTTTATCACCGGATTTAGTGACTGTTTTGCGACCTTTAACCCTCTAAAAGCGTGGCAGGGAATATATCCGAAACCCTTGTCAAATTAGGAAAATCACTTAACGGTCAGGAAGCCTTCTATTGACTTAGTTTCTCACGCGGGGTTTCCCCTGCCAAGATAATAAGGGAAACCCCAAAAAGTTGCGCGTTTGTCTTTTTGCATTACTCCTCTTCTAGTGAATTCAAAATGAAGATTTGGTTCAAGAGAGGTTATCCACTATCGATTTAAATTGAAAATTGGGACTGATGAATAAAAGAAGAACCACAAACCCCCATTCCTGCGGGATGTAAATTCGATTTTACCGACTGGTTTCCACAAAATGCCGTGGCGGCTTAAGGTTGAAAACATGTTTTCTTCCTGCGTCTCTTAAAGGGTTTTTTTTTCAGTCAGATATGAATAGCAGACAACCCACGATTTTATTAAGACTAAGTGAAGCTATCGCCTTGAAAGGAAGTTGAATGTGTGGTAAAGGAGAAGGGGAGAGATTATTGACGTCAATGCGAAGTCATTGACGTCACTACTTCAACAGGGAAAACTCAGGCCTGGGGAAAACTGGACTAGAGTAGAAACAACAGTAATAATGCACAGCGGATGTAAGTTCAACATGGCAGCCGTCCGGGGCCTTACGTGGGATAAAACTCATCATTTTCTTCGTGGTTGCTGTGTTTTGACTAGCAGGATTCCGGGCAATGCTAGAGGTATATCACAAGAGAAAATGCATGTTCTAACATCGGAACACGGGTTGTTTAGAAAGGTAAGATTTTCCAGCTGTAAATTTGCTTCAAGTATTGTGGTGCTTTAAAATCCTGGCCAGGTGTTGATCACTGATAGTTCTGAGACTCATGTATACGATGATCGATGTAGTTGATTGTAGCTCAAACGATTTCTTCTATTTTAGATTAATTTGAAAAGTTCTAAAGTGTGGCTTATTAATTTTGATCTAAGAAGCACGGAGAAATTTCAATTTCGGAAAACAGACACTACATAAAATTTTGGTGAAAATCAACTGAACCTGATCAACGGCAAGAAACTGAGGCTAAGCTCTTAGAATGACTAGCATCTAATTTCTCCATGCAATATCACTCCTGAATCAAACGTTAAGGTCAGGGGAATTAATGGATTGATCACACTAACTCAAGAAGCTCTTGATTGTTGAACAACTGAATTCTTTTTGTCAGCACCTTAGAAAATTTATAGAGAACAGTCTTGAGAATATACATACTGATGTTAGGCTGTAAAAGGTTAACTGGCTTGTGGTTCAGATAAATTTGCTTAATCTTTGTCAACCCTTTAAAAATATCAAGAAGGAGGTGGTGTTTACTCCAGAGGTTTACAAACTTGTTGCTTTTCCTTTAAGGGAATTCGTGGTTCATTGTGTACTCAAGGTCCATTCAAAGTCATGTCGTTCTTGCGACCAATGAGTAGCCAATCACAAGGCAGCTTTTTGGCAGACCTTAAGTCCAGCCCATCATCAGCTTTATATCTTGGCTTTTCTGGTGCCATCCCTTTCTGCAGCTTGGCTACCATGGCATTTATTTCTCCAGAACACTTAAATCTGATTGCTCATGCACAACAAGCATATGGGGCATGCATTCTGTCATTTCTTGGTGCAGTACATTGGGGTTACACCCTACCAAAGACTAGTGAACTTAAACCAGACTGGAACACTCTTGGATACAGTGTAACTCCATCTCTCATTGCCTGGTTGTCTTTACTTATGAATCCTGCACCAGGACTGACAACATTGTGTTTTGGGCTTGCTGTAGCTTTGTGGAAAGATTTGAGGACAAGTTGTTTTCCCTCATGGTACATTGCTTTACGAAAAGCTCTCTCAACTTTGGCAGTGACTTCAGTTGGTTTGACTGCTGCAGTCTTGTATTTTCAATAGTCAGACATATGTGACTCTTATAGAGAGGTTCATTGATATTTCTGTATAATTTTGCAAAATAAATGAATTGAAATTTGTTTGCTGCCTTTTAGTCACAGTTATATTTTGAAACTAACCTCTTCACATGGTGGAACTTGGGTTACAAAGGACATTGTAGAGCCTTTTTGTAAGCGCTTTATAATTTGATGATCTGAAGACATTGTCAAAAGTTTATTCACCCTTTAAATCTCAAGATTTGTCACAACAATTTGGTGTTAGATCTAGGTAACAAATTTTACCTGATAAGTTTGAGTATACTCATTACCTGTTTACTGGAAAATGTATGGATCTTATAGAGAGAAGTGAAATGTAAATCATTTTTGGGACATAGTTTGACGCTACTCTGGTTTGCAGATTTAATGAATGTAACCGAAGAAGTTATGATTTTTTTATCTTTTATCGATGGGTGAAATGTGAAATTTGCCTTTATGAGAGCTTTGAAGAGCTGAACGACTAAGATTTCTGGAATTTTGTTCATGGGTTCTATCTCAGCATTTACTATTCTTCATACAAGTTTGGTACATCGTCTCAGAGGGAGAAAATAAAAATGAGAAAATTATCAACCGTGGAGATAACTTGACTATTTTCAGAAAGAGAAAACAAGAGCATCAAACTATGTCTGATTGTCCACCTGCTTGCCGTGTGAACTTTAATATATTTCATTTTTGGGAGTTAACCCTTCAACTCCTAAGAGTGACTAACATCTAATTTCTCCTTACAAGATCAGCCTTAAATCAAACATTAAGGTCATGAGAATAAAGGAGATGATCACCAACTAAAGAGGCTCTTGATTGTTGAACAAATTCTCTTTGTCAGAACCCCTAAGAAATGTCTAGAGATTAGTGTGGAGAATATGCATACTGATGTTAGGGAGTATAAGGTTAAAGGGTTTGTAAGAATTTTGGAACCACTGGGTTTAATAAGTTTTGTATATTACCCAATAAAAAGTACTGTATAGTAGCTGATGAGTTGGAAGTACTACCATGGATTCAACTATATAGTAAAAATATAATGTTGAATTTGGTCCATTCACTCAAGATTTAATGGAGGCCCTTAACTTTTATCGACGGGTGACATGTGAAATTTGCTTTTATGAAAGCTTTGAAGAGCTGAATGACTGAAGATTTCTGAGGGGAGAGCCTATGGAAAACCAATGATTCCAGAAAATTATTCTATTTCATCTGTTTTTAATGTTCCACCACTTCCGTCTCATCTATTTTCTGTTATGTATCTTTTTTTACTATTATTTCTAAGTTTCATTTTTTGTTTTCTCTCGGAGTATATCTGGGTAGTCTTAAAGGTGACAGCACAATCCTTAGCCAGTCATCATATGGAGAAATTTTAAATGGAGAGGAATAATTGACTGAGTTTAGGCCACTCTTTTTAGCCTTTTGTAGAATTTCGCCGTCTTGGATTGAATTTGGTCGTCTATTTTTATTATCATATGATGTTCATTTCTTCTCATGGTCCATGTAATGGTGTAATACTGGAATTTTGTTCTGGGGTTCTATCTCAGCTTTTACCATTCTTCTTACAAGTTTGGTCCATCGTCTCAAAGGGAGAAAATAAAAATGAGAAAATTATCAACCGGGGAGATAACTTGACTATTTTCAGGAAGAGAAAACAAGAAATGTTTTCTTATTGTTTTATAGAATTTTATGTAAGATATTGGGAGTGAAAATCCACATGATGTCTTAGTTTTGCCCATAACTAGATAGAGCACAATAACATTATGTTTTAGACGATTACAAATGTTATTAAAGGTTCATAGTTTATATTCGTATCATAAATCATTGTAAATGCTAACCCACGAAGTCTTCATTTTATGCAAACAGTACATTGAAATTGATAGAGGATTACTTTTTAAAAGATGGGCTTTGTCAGTACTTATGCATTAAAATTTTTTTATCATTGGAATCTCTGTTAACATGTAAAATATCACTATAGTTAGACGTTATTGTACAAATTTTAAGTATACAGTACTACTTGCTTGTAGCCCTGCATTACACGCGCGTGACGTAGGCACGATAAACATACTGCACGTCACTACACGCACCTACGTGTGATTTAAGATGCACGTTTGTGACTGTTAATGTCCCCGAATATAAGAAGCTATTATCATAAGTACCTATTAGCAATTTGATGGGCATATCATCGCATACTCCACAATCACTTAAGCAAAGATTCCCTACAAGAGTTAATTAAGTAAATTCAGTTTACCGATATATCGACCGACTGACGGCCGATGCATCGGAAGATATGTAGCGATTAACTGCCAGTGAAGTATCGGTCAAGTATCGGTCAAATATCGGTCGACGATCGACCGATAGTCGGTCGAAAAGTACCTTAACAGTCGACCTATATATCGGCCGACATGTCGACCGAGGCCACCAACAAAGATTCATCAACAAAGATTCATCGCACCAGAGATCACGGCCAAAACTAAAATATTTCTATACTGAAGGAGAAATTGTTTCATAGGCCGCTCTGCAACAACGCGAAAGCCAAACACACGATCTCATCAGTAATTCTCCTTACTGTCTGCCGTACAATTCTTATGATGTTAGTTCAGAGAATTTGTATAAGATCAATCAATACTCTCCTAATTGATATTTCTCTATTTTCTCAACACCTTTCTGCTTGATATTATATCGATATGGTAAGGAGAAATTCCTTTTTGGTCACTCATGGGAATTTAGGGGTGAAAGGCGGGAGAAGACCGCCGATAACCGGCTTTTAATGGAATCTCCAGGTCTCCAGTAGTCTCCTTCTAACCGGAAGTTGTTTTACTCCCGCAAACAAATAATTCGTTGATAGAGCTCTTAAATACGATGCTTTTTCCTCATTTATTGTTGAAGTTACAGCCATTTCTCAAGAGTTGCAACAAGCTTGACCCACCACCCGAGCTCATCGATCAGCAGAATCTTATCTTCATCTATTTTCCCCCCGAGCTGGCGATGGATCTCTCGATCTTGGTGTAGGGTACGGCTGAGGTGTTGACAGCCTCAGACGAGGTGTGGCAACATGAGATGATTTTGCTACCAATTCTTTTTTTCTTTGACTTAAGTTCGTGTTAATTTTTGGTTGTATATTGAATCTGGATCTTCTCGTCTTTCGCTGTTGCTTTGGACTGGTGGACATACTGCTGGAAACGCTGGCTGTGTCTGATTCATCGTCCACGATTTCTGGCTCAGGAGGCTGTGAATAAAAGTCATATTTTCAAAAGTCATACCCTAATAAGTTTAAATGTAATATACGTCTAGCCGCTGTTCGGCAAATGATTCCGCGCTCCCTCCCGCTCCTTATCGGGAAAATCGGAGCTCGCACTCAAGGGAAATCTATTAATCGCCAACTAGCACTTTGGAAACAAATCGTCAAAGGAGAATGTGTTGTACTTACATCATCCGTTTGAACGAATGAATCGTTCATCTTCGCCTTGTCTGTTTGTGTGTGAATATGACTTAGTGGTTTTCTCTCTGTTTGGACAATGCTGTCACTCAACTTAACACTTATTGTCTGTGTGTCGACAGTCGCCACTGGTGTTGGTTCTTCCGCTTCCGTTTGCATCATCAGTTCTGCAGTTTCGACTTCTGGTTCCGGTTCTGTTAACATGCAAGCGCTCTGGGTTCTGACGACGACTGTTTGTACCTGGGATGTGTTGTACAAGACTTGCATTGTTTGAGTGTACGCTGCCGCTGTTGGAATCTTGGGTGGGTCAATGTAGACTGTCTGTATGTGAGATAAATAATGGAAGATGGCATCTTCTCTTAATCTTTTAACTCCCACGATCTGATTGTTAATTTTCCCCTCTCGTTCCTACACATTTCCTAATAAATTGGCTACGTGAATTTGGTGTTACATCAGGATAACAACTTCTACCTGATAAGTTTGAGTATTCTCATTACCTGTTTGCTAAATACTGTATGAATATAATAGGGAGAAGTTACATGTTAATCACTTTTGGGAGTTATAGGGTTCATTGAAGATTGCACAACTATTAAGGAACGCGATGATCCTTCCGGGTAAACTGAACTTAAAAATTGAACAAACAAAAACCCTGAAAAAATCAAGGCTTCGAATGGATTCGAACATGTGCCTCCCTGGCATTAGTTAGGCGCCACCCAATACCCACGGCTTCAAATCCCATCGAAGACTGAAATCCTCTTCTGGTAAACCTTTCCTTAAGGAAGATGGAGTCTAAAAAATATACTTGCCTCGGTTACAATACGAGTCTCCCCTTCTTTAGTTCTGTTTGGTATGTTGTTGACCATGTAGTCCCACTCATGGGAGATCGGCGCACAGGAGTAGGGGCCTGAGCACGAGGCCAGTTGGGGTCTGAACTTCTTGGGATTAGCACATACATCACATTCACAGCCGCCGCAGTTGTTCTCGTAATTGTTGTCGTGTCTCATTTCTACATCGTTGTTTTCTTCAGATGCGATCTGTGATTTCTTTTGGCATTTCTGGGCCCGTTTCAGCTGTTGTGAAGAAAAAAAAACAATACCGTAATTTTAGTTTAGGAGATTTCCGAGAGAGTTTTTCCCTTTACGCTGGAATACTTCAATTCACGGAATAGTGTTAGTAACAGAAAAGATATTCTTCTGTGTCCAGTCCAATAAAGGCATTTAGACTAACTTTGATCAGAGCACACAGTTTCATTACGCTAAGTTGTCTCTCATAAAATCACTCCTCTCTTCTTCAAGTTGGTCATTCTGATAGATATCGAACTCGACCAGAAGCCCATTACTTCTCCTGACTCGACAAGTTATGTTACATTGATTTTGCGCTGAACCAAGAATTTTCTCAATTTTTTAAGAGCATCAACAAAAGCGAAAAAAAAAATCACGGGAAAACTGAATTTAATAGCAAACTTTTGCTCAAATATGCTCTTTCTACCCCAGGGGACTTTACATGTCAATAACATGATTGTCGTCAGATTTTTCTCGTGGAAAATAGAATAGACACTTGGGTTTTTAGATGAGTCAAGAGAGTTGGGATTCCTTTATTTCCCTATCTAAAGAATTTCCAAATCCTTACTAGGAAGAAGGGGTTGTGGAGGCAGACACATGTACCCCAAGGTCCCACAACGCCACGGCCTCGCTAGTGTCTGGTCTGCTTGGCTACCTACCTTCCTCTTACTTCTTAACTCCCTGTGGACGTAATTTTATTCTCACCTGCGGAACGACTCCAATAATCAAGAGAGCCGCTGATATAACGATGATGATGAGACCTGTAATACCATAAAAGGGATTGGGATACTGTCGCACGTGCATTATTATCGGAATCTCGATGACGCACATTACACTTGCTATTGCCACACACTGAGCACAGTTTCGCGTGTTGTTACACAACGGCATACACAGGTGGCGTGCCGGCCAGGCTGCTAAGGCGCCAATCAGGAGAAGTACTCCCTTGGGAATGAAGAGGAGAGCCAGCGCTCCCATCTCATCGTCAGAGATGCATTGTTCAACGAGGACTGTTCGCTCATGGTACGGACGGGGTCTGGATACCTGTCGAAATTCAACAATCGGGTCGGGATGTTAGTTAAGTGAGCAGTGATATTACAGAGGTAAATCTGCTGTGGCCTGAGTTCGATTTCCGGATATAACATGTGGGTCGAGTTAGGTGTTTGTTTTCTTCCTCGCTCAAAGGGATTTTCTCAGGGTTTCGTTTCTCCACGAAAACCAACTTTCGACCCAGAAAAAGTGGATGAACCGCAAACCCGTGGCAGTCCCACTGTTAAAATCCAATTTAATGTAAGTCTAAGAAATTTTAGGGAGAGTAATGTACAGTTTCCAAAATTATGTAATGTATTATGTAATAATTAGCAGATAATATTTCTCTTCTTTAGTTACTTCGTTATGAACTCATCTCAACTAACCTCCCGCAGAGTTCTCACTGCACGGGGGTTAAAAATAACTTGCCACGTGATCAACAAAATGACGTCACAAATGAAGATAATCAAGGCTATGAAATGCATCCACATCCATGGAACCTGAATCAAGAGTGAAAGTTCGTCATTGCCAGAAGTGATTAACTTGTAAATCCTCCCCACAATATCAATACATTATCCAGCAAACAGGTAACGAGAATACTGAAACTTACTAGGGACAGGTTGTAATCTTGATCAAACACTTCATTCTCGCAACCAATTACCAAGGAAATGTGTAGCAGTTAGAGGAGAGAATTGACAATCTGATCTTGGGAGTTAAAGAATTAGGGGGCAAAGCAAACACAAGGGGAATTTTGGCGATGAAAGGGAAACGGATAATCAGCATAAAGTGGAAGAATGTTTAAACACTTTCAAGAAAAGCGCTAGAAAAGATGTGGTCTTTTTTGGTGCGAGGAAAAATGTTATCGTCGAAAAGTGCACGGACGCTATCCATGTAACCATTGGATAGCGTGGTATAATGTGAAACCTTGCATTGCGTGGGATCAATCTTGTAACCACTGTGCAGCGCGAGAAAAAGCCGGCCAAGCAATGGTTACCTTCGGAAAATTTGAATTGAGCACACTTTTGGTGATTAGTTTGCGCATTCTGTACGGATTTTAACTGAATGTTATAAAAGAGAAAATAGGGTAAAAACCTTGTACCCACAAATTCTGACACACCGTGAAAATGATCTAGCTTTTCATTTTAGCACAAGTTTTAAGGTAGAATTTTCGTCTACCATAAAGTACGCCTGCGAACCTTTTTTATCGTCAGCGGTCTCCTTGACACAACTCTGAAAGCGAAGAGGACTCTGGGAAGTACACTGCCGAGACAAAATGTGAACCCCAGGCTGAGAAACCAGGAACGTGCCTGAAAATGAAATAGATACAATGTCGACGTCACGCAGCAAACAAGTTAGACAATGTTTCTTCCTAGAAAAGAGATTTTTTTCATTGGTTTCTTTGCTCTCGTCAAATACCGTTCGCCAGTATCCTATCATAACTGCCTGTTATTCTGCTCAATCGTTGGTAAATATTTTCTCTTAGGATAGAAACCTCGAAAGTAGACACGAATTAGTATAATTTACCGTTTATGACAAGAGGTTTGCAGGAAGACTGCGGGAATGATGACATATTGAGAACAGTTCTGGGGAGTTCATTAGGAAATCTGTCTATAACGAGGAAGGGGAGCTATCTGTTTTTAAAAATAAAATTTAATGGAGTCTTGACTCATTACGTTTTCCATAAAAAACGATTAAAACTTTTTTTATTTGCTTTCTAATAAACCTTACCAGCCCATTCCCTTGCGTGCATGATTCCTTAAGCTCATAGCAACTTTTAACGTGTACGTATGCTAACCTGACAAACCCACTGCATCAGTTCAAAGGAAACAAGGGCACCGTCAAATCCAAACAGCACAACGGAAAGAAGATTCAGCATGCAGCCAAAGATGAGCAATTCAGTGAGGTAAAAGCCAGAATGGTAGATGACTCTGGATTGTTTTGTATTAGGAAAAAATGTGTTCAGTGACATTATGAAGGAAAAACAATTTGGTTGTATTATGCAGAAGAAATGAAATTCACTGTAGTCGCGCGGTTGTAACTTTGAGCAAATTTTGGTTTGACCTCAATGCATCAATCTGCATATTAAGAAATTACTTTTGCAGCGCTTAAACACTCTCTGGTGCAAGTTCCTAACCATTTCGAGTTTTCATGGGTGGCTCTCTGGCTAAAATAAATAAATTGGAAGCATTTTGATCGGCTAAACATTAGGTATCGAATGAAAAAAAAGGCAAATTTTCAAAATGCAAAGGCAGTAGTAACAAACGAACTTAAAATTGAAACCTTAAAAATTATTTCGATCTACCAATAGAAATTAAATGATTGGCGGCTTTTCCTCACCTATGTCGTCGAAAAACTAAAAGTAAAGCCAAACAAAGAACACAGCAAACGAGAAGAAATCCAGAGATTAAAGACCACGACAGGAAGAGAGGAAGACTGATGTACAACCACGAATCTGTTGAAGATTTCCTTTGGTAAGGTTGACCGGCTGTGAATTGAGAGTAAAAAGGAGGTGATGAATACATAACTTCTCATTAAAATTCTAAAACAGTTCTACAAAGACAAGGTAAGAGGAATGGAGACATCAATCTTTTAAAGGGTGAACAAGCCAGAAGGAAAATTAGTTGCAAGATCTTGGGAGTTTAAAGTGTTTAGAAAAACTCTTTAGACTACTTAGAAGCCAAATGAATAAAGGGGGTAAGTTTCTAGAGAAACTGTGGTGCTGCATCGGTGGGAGAGTATAAAAGGGTATTTTAGTTTTATCAACTGAGTTGATAACATAAATTGGCCACCGTAAAGAATTGCGAAGCTGACATTTCGAGCGTAGCCCCTTTTTCAAAGCTCTCGCTCTGAAGCTTTTGCTCTGACGAAGGGCTAACGCTCGAAACGTCAGTTTTTACCCCCCTTACCCCTGCGGTGGCCAATTTACGTTATCAACTCAGCTGCTAAACTATCTTACCCTGTTATACTTAGAAGCTAGACTGCTTACAATCGATGAACGTTCGGCGTAAAGAACAAACCATCGAAAAAATTTATTATTGAATTAGTTTCTCTTCTCTGCTGTCCACCTTTGAAGAACCGACAGTCCAACAGTTTTTTTTTTTGGAGACATAAGCCTCCAGAGAAGTTGATATGACTTACCTGGCCAATTTACATATTTCAAAACCGCTGGTGTACCGTTTCCTGTGGAATCTCCCCTCAGGAGAAGGGAAGGGGGATTGTAGTCATACACACCCACTTCAAAAGAGCCAACTGGACGAAAAGGGAAAAAAAGATAACAATTAATACATTTTTTTTCTAAGAAATTTTTTTAACCTTGAAATTAAAGTATTATCAAGGGGTTTGTTAGAAAACGCATACATCTTCTCTTATGAGAAAGAAACAACATTTGAGAAGTGAGCTGATGCCTGTCTACCTACCAGATTTCGTGAACTGCTGTATGAAAACTGTGCACTTCCTGTTTCCATTCTCATCAAACGCGACTACACCCTATAACCAATCAAAGATAAATGGAAATCGCTTCAAAGACATTTCATTAACATAATCACCTCAAATAAATCACAAGCCATAAGATTTTGGAAGGGAAATAAGTGACTTGCTTGCCTGTGGCTTATAGACAACCTTTTCTTTTATGGTTAATTTTCGGTTTTGTTTGTTTGTTTGTTTTTTTTTTTAGTTTTCGTTTCGTCATCTGTGATCTTTAACTAAGTTGATGCATAACAGCAGCTATTCTCTTACATTTGTCCGTACATACAATCCTTACCGACGGTCCCGTAAAATGCAATTGGGCTGCCTCTTCCTTCAACAGCTCGCTCACCCTGGGTCGCTTGTAACCAAGGTCGTGTAGTTCCATGCCCCACGCGGTCAATACTGGCCGAGCACGCTCAAGAGTAACGGCAATCGCCCACATAGCCTCGTAAGCAAATGGCGCGTAAGTACTACGAAACGAAGGTGGGATTCTTTGATTGTAGTGCGTAAAGAATTTATCTGTTGTCTAAAAAATGTAAGACGCAAATTTGTTAAGTGCGAAAGTGTATTCTTTGTTATAAGGCTGTAAAAGGAAATGGTTTCGGAGGCAAAAGCTGCACAGTGTTGAAAACAACATGTACCTTTCCTGACACTAAAGTGTCGTTGATTTCATTCTTGTAGTAGAAATTGAAGTGGTGATCTAACGCCTCTTCCATCTGTGATCTCGTGCAATCTAATTTTGTGGGGAGTTCAGGATTCCACCAATCAGAGGTTATATTAGCATCCGGGGTAGATGTTACCATCCAGACGTAGTTTTCGCCGTACATTCTGTTTCGATAAGCCTTAAATGGAAGATGTAATGATCGACAGGTATTATTGTAGGATAAGATATAAACTATTGCCATACTACTCCAGAGTGCTCTGAGTGAGCTCGTAATTGTACACCTGAGAAGCCATAATCAAAAATTATCACTCTAAGGTGTGAAAATGAGAGTTAATCGAAAGAATTTGAAAACAGGAACCTGTTAATAACCTTAAGAGCTTAATTGGTCTTAAAAAGCTGTACTGTAGAGACTGAAAATCTACTAGCATTTTATAGCTTATTTTCTATTGTAGTTCAGCAGTGATGTTGTCTGAGAATACCAAAGGTTTTAAGCTTGTTTAATTCCAAACATAGATTCGTTTGCAAGGCTGACGCAAATTACACTAAAACAACCTGAAACGCATTTTCGATCAGATGGCGCGTAGTTTAAGAAAACTTAATGATTCGGTTACCTTGCCCATTATCTCCAAGGGGAATATAACGATGGGGGAACATTTTCCTTCGCACGAGTTTAGACACAATTACAGGCTTACCTGACAAAACACTTCCCTTGCTCTGGAGTGATGAAATGTACCAATGATAATGTGGGCTCCCTTGTCCTGAGAAAGAAAAAGTCAAAATATCATTTTCTTTTCCAGAGTGTGCAGTTATTATGAAAAAACTAGAATCCTCTCCCTGATCTTCTGGGCTCAGCCTGGGGGTGAAAAAGTGAAATTAAGGGCTTGACCGCACTAATCCATTTTCAAAGGAGTCCGTTTTCGTTTTTCTTTTTGAACAAAACGAAGCAAAATTGAATTTTTTCCTCCCTCAAGGGCGTTTACATTTTGACTCAGTCAATTGTCCACTCAGCTGTGTTTTCATTTAAAAACATATACATTACAGCAAGCCTTAAAACGTGAATTACTTTCTGCACCTTTAGGATTTTGACAGCAACTGCTGGATCTTGTGTAAAGCCTTCATTTGCCACGATTTTGCTCCCATTGCCTTCCAGACTTTTAGCTAGATGCTTGCTTATCTATGAAGCAAAACAGCGTCATTTGGATCAGTCCTTTACGAATTTTCCACTGTAAAATTTCGTCCATTAGCGTGCGTAGCAAAGACTCAGAAATATGCACACCATGCAAAGCAGAAATCCTTCGAGCCCGTTACTTCTAACTCGCGTATACATGTCCGGTTCACTCGTACCCGCTTGAATCGAGCGGTTCGGAGCGGCTAAAGAAGGCGCGTTATGGCGACAACAGTAGTAACACTAAGTTTCTCGGCTGAAAGAATAACATAATAGATAAATGGAAGAGCATTCTGTGGCTAAAGCAGCTAAACTTTTAGTCTTTAATTTGATTTTATCGCCACAACCACATTCCACAGATGAACTTTTAAAACTAGCGCCTGTTTATGCGCAAGTTTCAATCAGTGCATAGACGAATGATAACACAAACATGCTGGGACATTCACTTGACTGTAAACTCACCAGTGAGTAGTATGGTGACGCGTCATAAATCAAACCAATTTCGTCCTTCCAGCCAAATTTATTGATAAACTGCAAACGAGGCTCGTTGAAGACGAATTCTGTTGGAACGGTGCGGAAGAATAAAGGATATCGGTCTCGTTTGGTTGTGAGCTCCAGGTCGGTTGCTCCATGAGAAAACTGCAAAAATATAAATATTGAAACGGTATCTTTAAGGCCAGTTCGCTTAAAAATTGAACATTATCATTCTCAGAAAAAGACTCGATTTCTTTAATTTGAGCAATAACGACAGCTTCACTCATCAGCAATAACACTTGACTACTTTTGATACCGTCAAGAACGCCCTTTTTCTGGAAATTATATTTTTTTTAGTAAAACCTCCTTAGGCGCTAGTGTATTCCCACCAACCCCCCCCCCTCCTCATTACGAAGAAATCACCCTCCGGATGTGTTAGAGGAGATCTGGGGGTCTGGGGTTAGAAGGAGGGGGGTTACACAGCATGTATATCAAAATCGCGGGCTGAACGGTGGCTTTGAAAACACCATAGGCGAAATATTATAAGAAGTATTCTACTATGCGTCGAGTGTATTCGGTGTTAAACCTCTCAATTCTTTTTTTTTTTTTTCAGGGTTCAACTGATGATCAAGGAGATGATATTTCTCTTTGGAACATTGTTTGTTCATCCTCAGTGGCGAGTGGGAATATCCTATGGTAAGGTTATTCAAGCCCATGGTAACACATTAATAATGTAAGCAACTTTCAATTTCTTGCCCGGCATTATTTCGTACTCACAGTCAATTTAAATGCCTATGTACTCAAGTAACCAAATGAATTAGATTAATTCTTACCTGTAAAATTCCAATCTCTCGCAATCCAGCATATGCAGCCACTGTTTTGGCCAGGTCATCATTAAATGGTCCGAGGATCATAAGCTTTTTGGGTGGAGTGTTTAAATATTCGTACAATATTTTGGTTCCTTCGCTGAGACGGCCCTGAAAGAAAGACATTTTGTGCTCCACGTGAAAAGGAGTTTTTCAATTACTATATTACAGGTATATGAGGTTTCTCGGACTTTGGAAGAGGAAAACTTATTGTTTAACACTTTGCAACTTTTCTGGCTTGCATTTCATGCGTGCTGTTAGGGCGAGTCGACGTTATAAACTCGCGATCGTCTATCAGGGTGGCTATGTTTGATTTAGCGTTAGAGCAGACGGTGGGAGGGAGTGAGAAAGGTGAGAGATTTATAAACATCTCACTGCTGTAAAAATCAAAGGTATTAGCTATAATTTTCGCTAAGAGAATATTGAGCATTCGCTAAACAAATTCACGTGATCTTCAAGGTATTATTTCTAGGCCAGGACTTTAGAAATATTTCCGTTTCAAAGAAAATAAAAAAATGCCTCGTCAGTCGAATTCTTAATTTAGACAAAACCTCAGGGATTAGATCCCCAGCAGACTAATTTTTTTTCATTTAATTTTAATTTAATTTTTTTTTTATATAAATTATTATGAAATATAAACATCTTATAACTCAATGGTGGTTATCATGAAAAAAATATCCTATTAGGTAATTTATGAGTCTACCAGAGAAAATGCATTTTTGTGACTGAAATTTATAAAAACTTGTTTTCTGCGGCAGCCCCGTTTACAATGAGCATGCAAACGACGTGAAATGAAAAACAAAAAAATTAAACTATAAAGCCAAAAGAAAAGCTCAAGAACAGATGTTTTAAGGCTTGTAACAGCAACCCAGACCAAATAATTGTTTTTCCAGACAAGAATCATCTTTTTCGTTCATAATGCCAAATAAAAAGAAAACAAAGGCTTCAAATTGACTGGAGTTATTCCAAATACAGCCTTAAAGAGTCGTTATTCTACTTCCGGTTGATGTGCTTGATGAACCGGAAGTTCAATTAATTAATATCAGTCTTTCGCGCGCTACTGGGTCGTGTTGCAGAGTTTTGGCAGCTTACGTAGGGGCCAGGCATTATTGAATTGAGTTCTGTGGGGGAGGTGGGGGGATATCGAAGTATTCTGGCTGTGTAACTTTAAAATTTTCCTCGTCCCCCCATGAGCCTTTGAAGTGTTCTTACGACTCCCCCCACCCCCCTTTATTGGCTGTTTATTTTCTAAAGTTCCCTCCTTTATACTTTGTCAGCAACGACTGACCCCCTCCGTTCCCAACAGGGAATAATGTGACATCCCCCCCCTATAAAAAAAGAAAATATGCCTGAGGTAATAATTCTCTTATCTACGTTCTCAGCTTATGTAAATGAAAGAAAAAGAGTTTTTATTACATGCGGTCATCAAAATCAATGCGCTTTGTCTGAGTCGGAGACGTTTTTTTAATTGCAAATGCATGCACTATGTTTTTAGATGATACAGGCAAGTTTCATTTACAAGTGTTTAATATAACTGCAAATAATTTTTTACTACGTTAACAAAAAGTAGGGAGAGCAAAAAATCACCAACAACGAAACGACCCATTTACAAAGTTTCACAATATTGCTTTCAGAGCAGACGATCAAATTCTTGGAAATATGCGAGTTTTAAGGTTAACTGAAGATAAAGAAAAATCTTCTAGTTTATTTTACACTCGATTTATGGCACCGAACTAATTAATTTTACATTTAGTATGTTTTTATCCGTATACAGTCTAATTACAACAGGTCCGTAGTCTAAACATATCAAACGAATGGATTAGGGCGCTGTTGAAATTACTGATTTTATTGGTGATAAAAATGTCTGTATCTGATATAAAAACACAGTAAATGGTATATTCCCTTTTATTCAAATAAAGCCGATGGGTGCTGTGTACTTGAAAGTCGTCAATTTAATGTCAGAGATAACATTGAAAACTGGGAATGCATTTCCGAATCGTTAAATATTAAAATTGGGCGACTTTTTCTGTCATGAATATGGCATTTAAAGCTCAGAAAAATAAACCTGAAATATTTACGAATCAATACAGATTAAAATTGAAGCAGTTTCAATATAAATGAATCTGTCAGTCTCTCATCAACTCACAACATTCGGAAATGCCAAAAATGCCCAAAATGGCGACGAGTAAGAGTACCAAAAAAATAGATCCGCAAAAAGCTTGTCGTTTAATTTACAAAGAAAAGACTCGAGATTTGTTGCGGCCATTAATGCGCACAACAATTGGCGACAAATCAACCGAAGGAATTGTTACTAAAAAACAGCTTGAATATTCATTATTTGACGTACATTGAATTTGGCGTCTTGTCACAGTAAGAAAATGTTCTGATTCAGTTCACAAATAAAACACTCGAAACGGTTGAAATATTTACAGATGTATGCCAGCTTCAATTGGACATTTTCGCAGGAGACCAACCTGCATTAACCGGCTCAATGAACTCAGTGACACAAAAGAACCGACTAAATTACACACAGAACCCACCTGTTCGTTATAAACAGGAAAAAAAGAAACAAAATCTCTATTTCTAAACTATACCTTTGTCGATTTGTGATGGTGAAGAACAATTTCATAGTCCGCCAGGTATTTTGAATCGCTGTTGATTTCTTCGACGGCCATGAAGGCAGCGTCGAGGCAGCCTGCTCCATTGCGAGAATCGTGATCGAACAAACCAGCGATGTGCAGTTGACGCTTCACTCGAGGAACAGTCGTCGGTTTAACGACTCCCTGAGTATCGTTGAATGTCACCATAGCTCGGATTGAGTCAGTATCGTTAAAACCGCACACGAAATGGCGGTTTAAAGTGAAGTAGATTAAACAAAATATCCAGATTTTAAACCCAGGACTCATGTTGACAATCAGCTGAAAATGTCATTTACATCCTACAAAATGAAAAAGAAAAATTCTGGGTTGTTTTGGCGGTGATCATAATAGTTATTCTTGGGTTGTTTTGGCGGTCAGAAGATTGATAGCCGCCGTAAGCCTTGTTCTTTTCTTCTCTAAGGTTGAGGGTTTTCCCTTATTCAAATACGCATTTTTACTCTGTACCTACCAGTGTCTTCCAAAAATCGATTTGCCATAAGGATTGTCAACGACGCTGTCGGCCAAGAAAACTCATTACCATGGCTTCGACGACTTATTTCAGTTCTGGATAAATTCATGGGATTAACAATTTATAATTCAGCTCATTCAGCCCCCTAATCAGCTTCTTTTGCAGATCCCGCAGGATTACTAATTTTCTACATCAAAACGTAAACACTCGATAAACACTTGAGGTGTTTCTTCTCGAGTGAAGGACTAAGTACAAAAGTACAAATACAGGTCTAGCTGGAGACGGGCATAATAGAAGGCAGGAAGGGGGGGGGAGGGGAGGGGCTACTTGTAGTTCTCTGCTCTTTTAGTTCTTCCGCTCTTTTACAAGAGTGAGACAAATTTCTTTAATTTAAACGCTGTTTGACATTAATATACAAGGCTTTTCCTAAAGCGGCCCTTTTTACTGCGAAAGGGGACACCCTGTTGTTGACAAATGGCCCGGCCGAAAAGCCCATCCTTGAAAAAAAATTAACCTCACCAATCCCCCCCCCCCATTCCTGCCCCCTAATGGCGAAGTCTGCTTGAAATTTGTGAATACGATAAGTTTACATATCAGTCACAGCTTGTTTAAGCTTTTCTGAATTGTGTTATGAATTATTATGAATTTTTTATTGCTGAAACTCGATATTGCAATAGTGACCGTGTTTTTTAGGTATTCTTCTTCTTTTAAATTTAATGAAGGACTAAAAAAATTGCAACATGGTTTCCTTTTTTTTTTTTTAATCGTCGAAAAGTCTACCATAAGTAGTTTTCGATTATTTTAGCAAAAAATCAATAGGTGAGTGACAGCTGCATATGATAATAGACTAAAACAACTTGAACTTCAGACAGTCGAAAAATTTCTGCACTTTATATTGAATTAATTTGAAACGGCGCCCAAAAATTTCAACTTTATTTTAATAACAGACCATTAAATCTCCAAAATTATTTCGAAGATATCGGGGCATCTTGATTCAATTTGAGTGTCAGATAAGGACGTCAGCTTGGAATGTATGATTTGCGTACAAAAATGGAATTATGAAAGAAAGAGTAAACCAATTCTAGTTTCTTAACAAGCCCAGCTTTCCTCTGATTTTGTTTCCCCAAAGGCGATATTTCCTCGCTCTATATCAGATTGGCAGTAAACAACAGAAATATCGTTTTCTTTATTTGGTGTTAGTTTTAAGAAAGGATTTGGTGAAAATTTGAATTTAAAAAGTTGAACTATTTTCGATACCGCTATGTAATAATAAATACTTTCGTGATTCGTTCAAATATGAGAATTTTACATTTTTATCCGCGATAAAAGGCTCCTTTACTAAAAGTATTATTGAAAAAGAGACGCACTGTCTGAAAGCGAAGAAGAAATTATTTGAAGTAATTGTCGTATGTCATTTGACTAAAAAATTTTGAATAAAAAACGTATGGTACCTCACAGGATCAAAGGGAAACCACAGCTTGGAGTGAATAAATTCACAGGGCTGGTACACATTTTATTAAAATCGATTTTATTTTTTTCCTTGAAACCCGAAGACTTTTTATGAAATTACCATATTGTTATTTTTTACATACAGTAGCCATGTCTCTGTACCATTTTCACGAATACGTTTTCCGAGTTTAGCTGTGTGAAATTTTGTTGCACAATTTTTTTGCTTGTATAAAAGCAGAACTAGGTACGTGAAGTTATGTGTCTTTCGTAAGCTAACATACGCGCCGAGGTAATCCTTCTCGTATATAACTGAATCACTGTACAATGAGCCTTTGCCGCAAGGTTGGATCAGAAATAATTGTGGCCGTTTTGTCTCTGAATATAATTTGCGTCATGTTTACATTGTCTGGTACGAGGATATTTTGCATAAGTACATCATTGCAATGTTTGTGGTGATATTTAATGGATTAAGTGCATTAACTTCATGCTTGTTCATGAAAATATTATCCTGGACGTTAAACAGCGGTGAATCGCTACTGGCAGTTCAAAAGGTAGAGAAAAAAAAACGAATGTTTGAATCTCCGACTTGCAAACAGCGTTCTCCAACTGGCACGCGAATAAGTTTACTCTTGGGAAACGGAATTTTCTAAAAGAAAGTGGCGAAGAATATAATAAAGGGAATCCTTGCATTCAACTATATCTTCTGCCGTCATATTGTTTGTGTGCTGTCAGTTATCTTCTTTCAGATCTTAATTGAAGGAGTTTTCATTTGTGTAGAAACCAACGGGGACTTGTTAATCACACGGTACGAATGCATTGTGTTTGCCAATTACACGGAGCGAAGACACGCTCTAGAGCACCAGATTCAAGATCTCTCAAAAGTCTTAAACTCGTAATTTTGACGTAACTGTAGGAGAAGAAGTTTCAGCCTTCCTAGATCATCTTAAATTCGTTTGCACACATACAAAGAATTATTTGGAAATCACAGTTTAATTGAAGTTTCGAATTAAACTTGTGACAGTCCTTAACGTTGTACTTGCATCAGTGAACATACCTCTGTAAGAAGTTACTCCAAACCTTCCAGCGCGTTATTTGGAAAACAGATAAGGCCGTTATTCGCCGAAAAACGTGACGGAGTTCCTGATTAGAAGTTCTTTTACCCTGTCTAAGAGATCGTCAGCTGACCTAGGAAATTAAAATTCATCGCGTAAGGGTCATTGAACGAAATGTTTTCCTTTCATCGTAAATGAACCATAACAGTATTGTGTCCAATTTAACTGCTCAACCTACAAAGTAATCTTGTATTTCGTAAAGATCCAGCCGGGTCTGGGTATTCTAAGTTAAATTTGTGGTTAGAATCATATCGATCAAAGCATAACCGCAGATGACCCAAGCAGGCGATGCAGCAACATCGGATTTCTAGTAATTTATGTATCACTTTGTTGTTTTTGTCTCAGATGCAAACACAGCGTATTTTGTGCCGCCGTTTATTGGCGTGCTTTTGGAAAGTTTTATAAGATTACAACTAGGATAGGTTATCGCTAGCTTACACCCTGCTGAGTAGTACGAACACACTATGTTTCGTGTCTTCGATCTTTTATGCTAATAGAAACGCGTTTACCTCAGCCACGAGATCATACGCTGAATTGCTGAAATATTTTTAATAATCCCACGTGTAACAATAGAAAGCATATCATACCTGGTTTTAAGAAGCGTTCTCGTTCATTCTCGTTCGCAGTCTTCGTTTCGTTTCCCTTATGGATGCTCCCACGTTGTATACCGAAAATATATCGTGCTTGATACAAACTTATTTCCCGGTTTGGTCGTGACCACGAGCGAAGTGATGACAGCTAAGTTCACAGACAGTAGTGAGGGTAAATTCTGAAAGTACTTTGCCAAAGGAGACGAAACACGATTTTTTGACGAACGGAACCTTGCTGGTAATATTAATATCGACGCACCGTGTTCGTATAATTTGCAATGGAAAAATGGAATACGTGATGACTTTGGATCCAACAGAGTCAGTTGTGATTGAAGCGACATCCGGGCAATTGAAAGTTATCCGGGAACTTTTGTGTGACGATTTGCGAAAAAAAAAAAGGTTGCCTTTACAAGTGATATATACTATGATTTCCGGCTTACAGATCTTTTCCGAAATACTGTTTCGCTGTCAAGGTTTGCTTCCATTCGTCATTGAATTTATTGATGGAAAGTTTGTTTGGACCATTATGAAATTTGGTTGTCTTGTATTTGAAAGAGCGAGAGTAGGCAGAGGCGTGAAACCTCTCTGAAAAGAACCCGCGGTTTTAATGATGTCTTGGATAATAGAAAAAAAAATTATAATTAGTTCGTCTCCATGTAATGTTTTATTCATGCTTCGATTGAAGAGCATTTGAATAATTTATTGTCATTTGGAAGGGATAAAAAAAATTTAAATCAACTTTCAGAGGAAACGAACCATTTCGCCATCGTGACAAAAACGTGAATTTTAATAAACCGTTAGTGATTATTGAAATTATTTGGATGCGCCTAAAATTGATAAAAAGGCGAGCAATTTCCATGTAAGAAAAATGAAATATCCAATTAAGATCCAAGTAAGGAACAGAATAAAAACACCTGCGTACTGATGGATTTCCTGAAGCTTTATATTATCTTTGGGACGAGCATGCGTATATAACTAAGACAGGAAAAAGATTGAGGAAGCTGCGGTAGTTTTTCATATGTCATAAATGAACAGCTCGATGGCAAATTCGAGGCCTCAATAATTTAGTATGGCTGCATGTTTTTGAAGCTGGTAGAAGTGAACGATTCGATCGGAGAATTGATCAAGTCGTTCATTCTCATGGCAATGACAATGGAGTATCTAGGCAGGAGATTGTGGTGCTCTTGAAGAGAAGGAAGATGAAAAATAAACATTAAACAGCAGGCATTACAATCCCCCTCTCTCATGATTAATCTTCTATTCTTGCTCGCCCGCGAACCGCTAAACCGGTGGCGTAAATGTAAATCCTTGTTCAGTTCACGTATCCATTTTTCTCTGGCACACATCTTTCGTGACGACACTTCTATGACGTCATTCAATATGGCATTGTGCACGCGAACAGTGGAAAAGAATATGTTCGGTTGGCGACTATGAACACTTGGAATTTGGTTGCGTTCTTTTAAAGTCTAACCGGCAGCTTGGTACTGTGGCGAAAAAGGCGACGCGGTTAAAACGAAATACAGATTTGCATGCTCATGGTGCACGCAAATGGCATACGCACATGTTTTTCATCTTTGCTTGCCTTAATTTTCCCACGCAAACAGGGAGTATCTCTCCCGTGTGAGCTTCACCTCTGACCCAGGTTGGTGTAACGACAGAATTAGTTATACACAATTGCACCCTCTTTCATATCGGCGTTGATTGATCTTCCTATGAGGATGTAAATATCAACCAAATTTAGATTTAGACAAATTTAGACAAAACAATAATTTCCTTTCATTGATTGGGCCGGCTAACTAGAAATTCCCGTTTGGAAGACATCCAGGTAACCTAAATTTAGCCAAAGAACGTAGGTAACCGAAGTTTAGCCGAAGAAAGTATATGGCTCAGGGTAACGCTCAAGGTAACAAAGAATGATTGCAACCGATAAATGTTTTAAACGAATTGATTAAAGAGGCTACGACGTGCAATATCGTTAATCAAATGTTTTTATTTTCCTTATTATCGATTCTTTGTTTTTCTTAAGTGATGTGTAAATTAGTTTTCTGTGAGCAGCGCACTGTGTCTTAAACGCAATCTGTTGTTCACCTTGATCGTAAAGGTTCAGGTGGTTTGATATCTTGCCGATGTAAAACTAAGTAAACAGTAGACCGCACTTTTCATCGGTTTACCGGCGTAATAACCTACTTGAGATGTTGGGAGAACGAAAAGTTTAAAAATCCGGCTCACGATTTACAACTTTTCGAGTGTACTCCCAACATTCCAAGTAGGTTATTACACCGGTCAACCGGTGAAAAGGGCGGTTTATCGCTTTGACACGATTACAATGGGTTCAATATTCCAATGCAATAAAAGATACGTTTTTTGACCAATCAAAGCGCTCGTAGTTTTGACAGATATTTTGTAATACAGAATAACTTCTGCTTTTGTTGTAGATTTGTATCTCCCGATTTGCTCGAGGCCCACCAGTTTTCGTATCGCACCTACAACGCAGGTTGAGCTTAGAAGCTTGAAATGTAATCAACGGACGAACAGACAAATAAGCAAGCTTATAAATGTCGACATTTTGCAAGCAGTTACCCCTTTCTAATTCGATAATAAAAGTGTTCGGTTTGAGAAGTTCAATAATAACATGAGCGGGGCTGTATAAATTGTTTATTGTTACGTATTTTGTAAGATATGAGCAGTTGACAAAAATAATAGTGCCATCTTGGTTTAATGAATTGGACTCTTAATTGAAAAGAAGTTACAGAATTAGTCCAAAATTGTAATTACATTTATGATTATCAATATACCTCTTTGTATCTGCGTCGCCAACACTGATCTTCGAATTGCCCGTTGCACATGGCAAGCCCTTTGAAACTTTACGAGCAGCGTCAGTTATGGTCAGCGGATGTTATTGATGATCTCATAGTTTTTTCATCATCGAGAAGATTGCTTTACGCTGTAAGGCATTGTACTATGTCTTGGCATTTCGCTGTATCTCCTTCCTTCATTGTATAAGCGTGGTCGTACTTTAATGTACTCAGGGGGAGGTCTGTACAAGGATTGACTCCTAATCCGTTTCTCTTCGTTTTCACTCTGTTTCCGCTTGGTTATTGGACTATCTGTAACTTTCTCTCCAGTACTCCCCTCACTAACTGAAGTTACTCGCGACCGTACGTGCGAATAATCGTTTTTGTATCGAGGAATCTTCTTGATACTTCTTCTAGGCGCGTTAGAGCGTGTACCTGAACCAGTGTCAACTTTGGATGCAGCATTCCATTTCAACTTGCCGTATCCTAATTTTTTGCGTCTTCCCCTTTTTTTACTCTTCCTGGCACCATTGTGACCGCCTGCTGCTTCGCCAGTAGTAGCAGCACCTTCTTTATCTTCGTCTCCATCTTCTTCTTCCTCTTCGTCGTCGTATTCATCATTATCATCATCATCGTCGTCGTCGTCTTCTTCTTCGTCAATCATTTCGATGGTTCTTCCACTCTCATCCTTTGTAACTTCTGCGTTTTCGGGTTCGCTTTTCTCCACAGCAGAGCTCGCATCCTCTGCTAATTCGCCTTTGGGTTTTGCAGTTCTAGAACTTTGATCTTGGTTATTGGGGTTTTTCCCGTTGCCACTGTCGAGGTTATTAATGTATATGTCATCTCTTTTTCCATTTCCATCTTCTTTGTCTGTGCTCTTCAACTCTTTTTTTGTATCAATTATTGCGTTTTCAGGAGTAGATTCGTTGTCTAGAGGAACAGATATGGACACGTTTGTAAGGGATGCTTTCAGATTGTCGTCAGGTTTATTTTTATCAGTGGGGGAAATATTAGATCCACGACCTGTGGCTTTGTTACTATCCGTCGTGGCCGAGTCGTTGTTGATGTTTTTCTCCAGCATTGTCGGCTCGGAATGATCGTCAAATAGCCACGCCCCTCCAGGGCCAATAGAGTTCTTTTTATGTGCTCTATCCTGCGCTTGTGTTTCTGGTTTATTCGAAGGTTTCTCAGATGTGGAGTCTTCTTCGTTGATAGACACGTTCTTGGCTATGTTATTACGATTCGAGCTGGGAACCGGAGATGCTGAAGGGGTAGTCCGAGACTCCGAAGACTTAACCGTCGATGTAGACACTGTGGTCTTAGCTGCGTTGGGACTGAGAGACCCTGATAACTTGACAGCGTAGGGGCTTTTTGACGCCAATGATTTTCCAGGGGAGGTACTGGAGGCTGCCGAGGACTTAACAGTGGGGGAACTTGGGGACATCGAAGGCTTGACAATGGAGAAACTGGGAGCTACCGAAGGCTTTGTAGTTGAGGAACTGGGGGACCCTGGAGGCTGAACTGTTGAAGGACTCGTGGATCGCGAAGACTGAACAGGAAAAGTAAATGTAGTTTTGTCTTCAGGAATGGGCGTCGCTGGTGTCTCAATCAATAGAATTCGTTGCGTTCCGGGGAAAGTTTCTCCTGATTTCTGTAGAAAAAGTGAAAAAAGGCTATTGCTTTATTGTTTTTAACCGCGGGGTTCTTGAATTCCAAAGTCACATTAAAATGGTCACCACCATGGGAACTGCCTAAACCAAAATCAGTAAGGGGACGTGGGTGGCGTATTATGTAAAATTTTGTTGCACCGGGAAGCAAGCAGGATTTATTCCCCAAAAACAGACATCTTCTCGGAATTCACAAAGATTTTGTGGCAAAGATGAAATGAAGAAGCAAAATGGCAGTGTATAGATCAGTAGACGCTTCTCTCTCTATTTAGGTGTAACAAGTATCTTATCTTACCTGCTCTGTTGTAGATTTATTTTGAAGAGAATTTCCTATGGATCCCTGCTTTTTTAGTGCCTCAAGTTCTTTCTTTAATGTGTTTATCTCATCATCTTTCTGTGGAACAGTAGGTATAGCAAACATCACTTTATGTATAGTCGTGGGGCTCCAAAGGTGTTTTTTTTTTTTTACTTACCTCTGCAACTGATGTCTTGAGTTTGCGTATTTCTTCATTGGACATTGAAGAAATGGACATCCGTGAGCCCCTCCTTTCTTGTGGAGTGCTTGGAGCCAGGGAAGATCTTATTCCAGTGTTCACCTAAAAAAGATAGCCATATCGTGAATTTATCGGGAAACAAACTTTCGTTGGTCAGAGGGGGTAAGTTTCTAGAGAAACTGTGGTACTGCTTCGGTGGGAGAGTATAACAGGATAATTTAGTTTTATCAACTTGGTTGATAACGTAAATTGGCCACCGTAAAAAGTTCAAAGCTGACGTTTCGAGCGTTAGCCCCTCTTCAGAGCGAATTGGTTAGACTATCTTAACAAAGAAGGATGAACTTGCACCAGCTGTGTACCACAAGCTGTGGACCTGAAAGCTACTTATGTACCTGTTAATTTGCTCTCGATTTCGGACACTAGTGATTTTAGATTCTTACTGTTTATTTAACCAGCGTCTCTACCGTACCTTGCTTCTCACATGAGAGTAATCGGCCGCTTCGTGAAAGATTCGGATTTTATTTGCCGCGCGCCGAATGCGCTTTCTTCCATCAGTGCTCGTGAAACTCTCAGCATCACTACCGCTTGCGTCAAGTGTGCTGTCGTAATCGTCATCGCCGTGATCCAGGAAGTTGCTACCGTCATCGTGTGTCTGGGTAGCGATAGTCTTAACTGTGCGCTTCTGTTGCACATTACTCAGCATGGTGTCTCTCTGAAAAAATAATCATGACAGCTGTGAGCGGATGAAAATTTTTGCTACTTTAACTGGTAAAGAGTCACAAGAAGTCAAGTGTGGGCATGAACGTTGCGCGTGCGCGGCCAAAAAGGGAGCGAGGAGACGCCACAGAAAAATGATTTCGCATGCTCCGCTACTCAAGCCATTTAAGTGTGCAGGGTTACGATTCTTTTTCTGCAAACATAAGCTGATGAGGGTTTTTCCGCCGAGACAACAAACTTTTTTTTCTTGGGGTTTACCTACTGAGGAGGCGATGACAAGAGGTGCTAAAGTGATAACAGGTGACACGATTTTCTTAGCCATGTTACGGTTGCTCATCTTCAGTCATTAAATTTACACCTGTTACCTCATTTTTTGTGGTATTTGATTGAGTTATGTGACGAAAGAGGTTCGACAGAAACTTTTCTGAAAACGGTCACCCTATCTTTTTTGGTTTGGGTTTATCCCTGAAAAATGAAATCAAGCCATGAAAATTTTAAAAATACCGCCATTTTACGTCGATATTGTTATTACACTAAATATTGTC